TGCTCTCACCCATGGTCAAGATCTCCAGATACTTGAACTTGAAGCAAGGACAAAGTTCCCACTCACTAGGTGCAGTCCAGTATTTTCCAGCAGCCAATGCAAATGTCTCAGAGTTCCCCATTGCTAGTACTTTAACGACTGAGGTGGGGATCTCTTTGGACTTGGCTTTGCAAGAATGGTGACAAAATTTCACTGCCCAGTTTTTGCAGGAACCTCAATCTGAATCAGCATGTCCACTTAGTTGTGTGGTTGTCCTTTATATGACTGAGGAGAGTCTCCAAATTTAGATGATTAATCATCCAGAAAAAACATTAAGACTGTCATACATGATTTTATTCCCCCTTGTTTGGACTTCTGTGAACCTCTGTACACCTCTGGGCCAACAGAGTTTGTAAGAGTCCTCTGCGAAGGCTTGCCGTCCCACGACCGATGCCCTTTCTGCTAGAGCTCTTGGCCCCCTGGAACAACTTCTGGAGATCAGATGTACAACTTCTTTATGATGTTTTAGATCTCTTGAGTGCATATCTTTATAGAGAGTCCCAGAGCTCCATGGTGCCATTGGTTTCTTTGGATCACTGCTGCAGACTTTCAGGTGCTGTAGACCTGAACCCAGCTCAGTCTCAGCAGATGACTGTCTAACATTTGTCTGGTTCTGCTCGAGATTTCTGCCTGGTAAAGGAAGTTCTTCCTCTCCACTGTAACTTGATAAATGCTGAAAAGTGTTTCACTCCTGTGGTTGAAGATAGGATGGGAATGGGGCTGATCTTACAGGATGGGTCTCACTCTGATCCCATCTTTGTAAACAGAGTCCGGTCTAGACCAGCATTCCTTTATTAAGTGTCTCAGGATAACACTTGTTGTGAATTGACCTATTGCGAAGCCCCACCCCTCGAACACAGATGAGCCGATGGCAGTTTGTATCAGTTGCACTAGGACCTGAACTGGAACATCTGTAGCTTTCAGCTCCATAGAGAAGCATTAGAAGTCATAATTTTTCATCTGTTTTATGGTGTTAATTTTAATGTAACAGAAAAAAACATGGTAAAAAGGTGTGCATAGGGTAAATGTCATACCTACACAGGGTATCCTGACAGGATGGGCAATTAGGTGTATTTCATTCATTTCCAAAACCAAAGAAAGACAGAGGTAAATGTCTGCTGTGTGGCAAACCACACAGCCAACTTAACGTCGAGAAGATCAACAAGGATGCCCACGTTCGTTCTAAGGCAAGTTACGCCAACATAGCTTTAAATCTACTATTTAGCATTTGCCTAAATTAGCTAACAGTAGCTAGCATCTGTGCTAGCGCTAGGTAGCGTTAGTGCTAGCATCAGTGATAGAGCTAGCTACTAGCAGTGTTAACGTTAGCACTAACATATATTGGCAACAATGTTAGCTATGTCTACGTTTGTTCTAAGGCAAGTTACGCCAACATAGCTTTAAAATCTACTAACTTTACCTACAGTTATTTAATCGTCATTAGTGATGTAGTAACAGAGCATTCGCCTATATTAGCTAACACTAGCTAGCGTCAGTGCTAACGTTAGCGCTAATATATATTAGCAACAATGTTAGCTCAGGTTGGTATAAAGAAGTCCCTTTTTAAGGCTTCTTGAAGAAATCAGGTCTTTCTGTGCCCAGAATTCGCCGAGACCCTCTTGGGATAGCCTTTTGACACCAGCAGCGGCCATTGTAAAGTACTGCTCAGCTCTGATTGCTTGTCCGAGTTAGCAACAGTAACTAAGGGGGGCGGGGCTTAGCGATAGGTCAATTTTTGCTACACAAACAAAGACATGATCCGTTATTTGAGTATGGTCAATAACTTAAGTAGGATTGTGGGAGATGATGATGGGGAGTGTAAAAAAATAAAAATAACTGTGCACTGCCTCGAGCTCTGCATGTCAGCACCTGTGTGATTAAACTGACACAGTCTGTGACACTTCATCCGTGCATGAGGTGTACTTTTTGTTTAACAGGTTACCCAGCATTAAAACCTCCTGAAATAAACCCTTTAAGGACCCAGAAGGAAAATGTTTGTCCGGAGTCACTCCTGAACTGACAAATCCTGGTTTAGGATCTCAGGGTGGCCAATCAGATTTCATCCCTGTAAGTGTCTGGCAACAGAGGGGAGCATAAACCAGCGACATGGTGAGAGTGTCTATGACCCAAAAGGTGGGTGGGGTCAGGGTTGGGCACCTGTACATGACAAACAGCTGAAAACATGATGCTGCTTTGTATGCAAAACTGCATTGGATATAATTACAGTACAGGTTTTATGTGAAGGTGCACCGTGCTAGCACTGGGTGTTTCATTGTGATGTTGGAGAGAGTGAGCATGAGTCAAAACACTAACACTTTGAGGAGTCACAGAGGGAGGGGAGAGATTTATTTCAAACAGACCTTGGGTTCTTAAGGAGTGGCCTGCTCTGTTCGTTATCAAACACAAAAGCCTCACAATAAGTCACAATTAAAGGAGGCTCTATCTGCATACCATAGGTTGGAATCATCCCAGGTAAAAAGGGTGGCATGGCAATTAAAAGCTGCCTCTGAGTACAGATAATTGCCAAACTCGTCAGTTATGGCTGTTTTAAACAGTTCATTTGTGTAGCTGTGATGTAACAGGTTATTTTTGTCCTGATGTCCAGCGTCACACGATTTGTTATGTAAATGACATCTGCCACAGGCGACTAACACTCCTTTCCATTTAGTCAGATAATCAACTCGCTGCTACATGAATTTCTTCTCACTAGAAAGGTTAAAGGAGTTTGAGTGTCGGCTCAACTCACAGAAGAAAACTTCATCGACTCAACAATCTTGTCTAATAACTGTTCAAACTGGAGATGTTTGGGTTTACAGGGTGATGAAGGGATGAATGAAGTCTGGGGGACTGTCATACAAAGAAGTGTGGTTAAGGGGGGGTTAAAAACATCTGAGATTCACTGGAGTCAAAGTGTAAAGGTGCCTGAAAGCAAAGCACAACTAAACAAGAGCAGAGCATGAGAACGCTCACTAAAAGTCCATCCTGTCAGGAATGAATGGATTAGAATCGGACAAAGGCTGGACCAAGAAGAGCTGGGTCACCATTATGAAACAATAATAAGCATAATTTTGACTTATTAGGACCTAAATATAGAACCAATCTGAATCATGAGTCACATATTTATGATATAATCGAGTCAAGGGTTTTGATAAAAAGTCAGTTTGAGGTAAAAAAAACGATCATGAGGTAGAAAAGTCTGAACGATGTCATCAAAAGTTATATATGCGCTTAAAAAACAGACTAAGTTATGGAATCATGTTAATTATGAGATTAAAAACATCTGAAGAGGTAAAAAAAACTCAACCATTAGGTAAAACGTCAAAAACTAAGTCAAAAAATATGAGTAAATATTGAGATGAAATGTTATAGTTAGATATAAAAAGGTTATAAGATTAATAATCGATCATGATATTGAAACTCTCATAATTATGAGATAAAAGCCAAATAAGTGTTTTTCAAAGTGTAACTGATGTGATAAAGAATTAAAATTAAATGGTTCGAGTAAAAAATACAAGAAAAAAGGTCAATAACCAAATATGAGGTCAGTTATAAGATGGAAATTTAGGGTTGATAATGAAATTAAAACATAATCATGGGGTTAAAACAATCTTACTTGTGAGAAAGTTTTAATTAGAAGATTAAAAAAAGTCACTATTATGAAAAATTTAAAAATTGAGATAAATTTTTAAAAAACAACTAATTGTTGAGCTGATTTAGAGATATGAGCATATTTGGAAGATGAATATTTACAAGAATAAAAGTTGAAATTTTAAAATAAAAGTGAAAAAATGAGTCACAATTCTGAAATTCATAAATAAAAATGACATTGATGGAGAATTATGAGACCAAAATCAGACTTAAATATGAGATAATTAAATCTAAAAGTGAATAAGATGGAAGATTAAAAAAGAAGTGGTTAAAGAAATAAAAAAATATGAGTCAAAAATGAGATCGAAGGTTTGAATAAGAGGAAGCAAAGTTAATCCTGAGAAGCTCTTTACAATGTAAACAGATGAAATCCAAAGATAACAAATGATGATATAGACTTTATGCAACAGTGAGGAGCTCTGATCTGCAGGGTCAACAGAAATGTAGACTTTTCAAATCTAAAGGGTCCCTAAAACCAGCCAATCACAGTCTCAGTTCTTTGACGACGATGAGAGTTTATTACAGAACAGTGAAATCAGGAAAAAGTGCTGATCCAGAGGCACCTGTCAGCAGGAAAAGTTTGAAGATGTGAGGGACTTGAATAAGGGGTCCAGCCGAGTCTGAGAATCTCTAAATCTGCAGCTTCTGTGGAGGGATCCTCGCTAACACTAAGCTTATACTTAGTCTCCTGCTTCTTCTACCTGGGTCTAAATGTTTGTGTTACTCCCCTCATCTCAAAACCTCTCAAGGTTTGTCCCCTTTTGGATCAGGTGACATTTGAGTGAAAGCTCGGTTCTGTAATCCTGGACAGGATTTTAGGTATCAGTCCAAATCTCTGCCTTTGGTTTCTATTCTCACTGCGTCATTAAGTCAAGATACCTGTGGTTACAGTGGGCGTCACATCAAACTGATTTATTGGTTCTTTATCAGGAATGTTACATAAGAGGACACGGCTCAGCACATTCTGGTCCTGCTCATTAACGTGACTGACTTCATCTTACCAAACAGACTCGTTGTTTGGCTTTCAGACGCTGGTGAAGGAAGACAAAACTGTAACTTTTTACACCCCTTTAGTGATCTAGAGAGAGAGTTTTCTTTCAGCTCTTTGCTGTACAACACTTTTTTTTTTCTCTTTTCCTCAAAATGAAAGTACTTTTCTCACAGCACCAAATCCCCACCTAAATCATGAAGACACTAAACAACAGCAGTAGGTTTCACTTATGTGTTACTCAGGTTTCATGCATGTTTTGGACAAATATGTCTCCTCAACTTTGTTTTTATGCAGCCTCATAGAGAGGGAGACTCTCTCTGACGTTTGTGCACCCCTTTCTGTAAGACATTGGTGCATCAGCGTCAAATCCTCCAACTCCGGCGACTTTTTTGTGGTCACATAGCGACTCAAATGTGACTTTTTGTTATTTGACTCACTGCTGGCGATCGTGAGGCGTCTGCATGTGACTGTGTGTGCATGTCTGGCCAGCCAAGAACAACAGGGTACAAAACAATATGCACAAAGAGACGCTCCTGCTGTGCTGAGTTCAGGGTGTGGGACCCTGTAAGGGCCACGCCAGTCCGCTCAATAAAGGAAGAAGAATGCAGGCAGTCAGGCAGACAGGTGCTGACACCCATGATCAGCACCTATGAAAGCACAGTGTGTTTGTTGGCCTAAAACCAATCCTAAATATGTAGCTCATTCACAAGACTGCAGTAAACACCAGCAGGGTGTTTGTTTGGCTTCTTATACACTACAGGCCAAAAGTTTGGGAGCGAGATCAGATTTGTACAAAAAAAAAAAATCATAGTTCCATATATATAATTTGCAACACAATAAACATGACTATTGTGTAAAAGAGTAACTTATCAGAAGACATTTTGACTATAATTATTGGGTATTTGAGTTATTGTTGCTTAGACTTTGCTTTCTTTAAAGTAACCTCCTCTGGCTTTAACAACAGCTCGGCATATACCAGGCATTCGTTCCACAAGTCTTCTAAGGTATGTTCCGGGGATTACATTCCAAGCTTTCTTAAGTTCATTAACTAACCTTTCTCTTCTTTTTTGTCTAGGTATCCCTGACAGAGCTTGGCAGAGTGCTTAGGGTCATTGTCTTGCTGAAAAACAAACTTATGAGCCACAAGTCTGAGCCCAGATGGAACAGCATGGTGCTGGTGGATGGAGTGGTACTGTTCTTTCTTCATGATACCCTTTACTTCAAACAAATCTCCTACTCCATCACCTGCAAAACATCCCCATACCATGGAACTACCACCTTCATGCTAAATTGTGGGTGTAACACATGGTGCTTTCAGACGTTCACCAGTTTGTCTGCGGACATAGACTGTGTTTTGAACCAAACAGTGCAAACTTGTTTCTAGTCATCATCGGTCCAATTTTTGTGAGCTTTTGTCCACTCATATCTCTTTGTCTTGTTCTGTGGACGAAGTAGTGTTTTTTTGCAGATACACAACCCTTCAGACCAGCCTTTCTCAAATGTCATTTCACGGTTGTCAGAGATATGGGTTTCGAACTTATGTTGATTTCCTCCCTTATTTGTGGTGCTGTCTTTTGCCGATCTCTCTCACTGGTGACAATGCTATGTTTCTTATCCTCTGCTTTTGTAGTAACTCTCTTTTCTCTGGACTTTGTTAAACACCTTTAGGCGTTTTGCAGTTTCTCTTTCTGTGTATCCTTCTTTCCTCAATGTACAAATCTGTACTTTTGTAACTTTACTCAGTTGCTTCTTTCTAGCCATTTTTGCGGTAGTTTGAACGCAGTTGAGATTTATTAGGATTTTTGTATGTAAAATGGTGCATTTCCATGAAAGCAACATCTGATCATGGAGTAAATACATCCCAAAATACATAAAGCTCACGCTGGATTTTAAAAAAAGCATTGTGAACAAAAACTTGAAGTGACTCCCAACTGTTCGGCCTGTAATGGCCTTGCTTTCAAACTTTTGGCCTGTAGTGTACGTGTAAAATTAACGTAATAGACATTAGGCCTGACCGAACAACAAAGACTTTGCTGGTCTGTATCTGTCAGCACAGAAGACCAGAGGACCAAGATAGTCCGCTGTAAGCGGCAGCAACAAAGTCTGACCTTAAAGGGATATTCCGGGGTAAAATCAATTCAGAGTCAAACACACCCCTTGCTTCTCTAGTTATACCAACTTTAGTGACGACTGCAGGATAGCAGTACACAACGGTCTGAGGAGCCATAAACAAACCTCAACCAAAACGCCACTCTATAGCCTTTAGCCCTCTATGCTTGTAGACTCTTCATATGTATCTATGAACCAAGAAATGTCATACTTTGTAAACTAAACTCTGCCCCAGGCTGTCCTTCATCGTCACATCTCGAGGGATGCATCTCTACCTTTAGCTCTTGTCCTTTAGCTCGAGTAACCTCACTGATTGTGATTCTCTGTGGTTGAACCAACAGAGACCCGAGTCTCACACTTGTTACCGAGGACCCCAGACCCGCTGTTTGCTGACTTTCATCCTGTTAACCCAAGCTCCAGATCTGCTGTATGGCTCCCCTAAGGCTTCAATTCCTCGTTCAGTGAATCTCTTGTTCTGCTCTAGATACTTTCTCTGCTGCTTGTCTAAACTCTTACAAAGAAATGTGAAGCAGCCTTGCATAACCTTGACCCCAGAAGAATGCGTTATCAGTCTCTCTGGTATGTCTGAGGCCTCTGGATCACTTTTATTACTTCCTCCAAGTTGCAGTTTGTAAATGTCAAAAAACCGGTCTGAATTGATAACAGAAGTTCCTACATATTTTACTCAGTGTGGTGTAGGAGTCCAGGAGTTTTAAGAGCTTCTTTCTTTTAATGTTTCTTTTTATCTGGATTCGATCATTAACATAACTCAACCTCTCATCATTGATGGCTGGCGAAAAACGCTGCTTTACAAACGTGCACAGAAACTCCCTCAAATTTATAGATTGGGCTACATGTGTGAACACAAACAGCTAAGTATCATTTTTTTGTGACTTTGCACTGCATTCGTTCGTCTTCTTCCGCTTCATGCGGGTCCGGGTCGCGGGGGCAGCAACTTCAGGAGGGAAGCCCAGACGGCCCTCATCCCGGCCACTTCCACCAGCTCCTTCGGGGGGATTCCCAGGCGCTCCCAGGCCAGGCAAGAAATATAATCCCTCCACCTGGTCCTGGGCCAGCCACGAGGTCTCCTACCAGTGGGACATGTCTGGAACACCTCTGATGGGAGGCGTCCCATTAGAGGTCCTCCGAGTGTCCGAGCTCCTTTCCCTATCTCTAAGGCTGAGCCCGGCCACCCTGCGAAGGAAACCCATTTTGGCTGCTTGTATCCGCGATCTTGTTCTTTCGGTCATTACCCAAAGTTCATGGCCATAGGTGAGAGTCGGCACGTAGATCGACCGGTAAATCGAGAGTTTCGCCTTACGGCTCAGCTCTTTCTTCACCACGACTGATCAGTTAAGCGTCTGCATCACTGCTGACGCTGCTCTGATCCGCCTGTTGATCTCCTGTTCCATCCTACCGTCACTCATGAACAAGATCCCGAGATACTTGAACTCCTCCACTTGAGGCAGGACCACCCCTCCAACCTGGAGAAGGCAATCTACCCTTTTCTGACTGAGGACCATGGCCTCCACTGCGATGGAGAGCTAACTGTAAATGTAGACTCCAGGAAGAATAGCGATGGCTTTAGCCGAAGCTAATGGAGATCTAAATCAATGGAATGTAAGGACCTCAGGGAGATTTGGGCTGGGTGGGTGGGCTGAGTATTGGATGACCCTCAGGGACGTCATGCAAGATGTTCAGCTCCTGAAGGCCGAGCAGCTCACATCCAGAGATGTGCTGGGCTGTCCGCATCCGCCTTTCCAGTACTTGGTGCAGCATCAGGGGGTGGAGCAGCCTGTCAGGGAGCTCATGATTTGTTCAAATCTGTAGCATGAAGGTAAATGCAGGGGCTGTCAGATAGCACAGGCCTTTGTTTCTCCGTCTGATATTATGCTGCAGATGTTTTGATGTGTTTACAAATCAAATTATTTGCACTGACAGCCCAACCCCAACACTGTCCGATGAAAACAGACTGAAGTGAGGTGAAGGAAACCCCTCCTTTCTTAACTTATGTTTGTGCTCTCATGTAGACACCGTGGGGCACGCAAACGAGTTCAGTATTTGACTCCAACCATCCAGGAGTTAAAAACATGCAAATGAAGCGAGTCAGCGCTTTAATTTGGATCCATGTGAAGACAATATAACACCCCTACTAAAGCGACCTTTCAAAATGACTCAACCCCACCTGATGAAGGTTACCACGATGCCAATAGGTAGTTTCTGATTTATCATCTGTTCTTTACTACATGTTGATTTGGCTGCACACACCAAACGGTTCCTGCATTTGTTTTTCATTTTGCATGTTAAGACTGAACATTTATATTTCGTTTGAATGCACTTTCCAAAAACTCCTCAGCTGCGGTGTTGTTTTTATGTTTGTTGCTGCCTGTGTACTCTGGAGGACAGCTCTCTGTCTCGCCTGAAGCGCCACCTGCTGAACATCAGCCTCTGAGTCATCACTGCAGCAGTAACTGATGCTCTTTCTCTTTCCTGCAGCGCCACCTGCTGACCACATGAGCAGTCAGAAACCTCTAACACAGGTGTGATTATCCAGTCTATAACAAAATAATCTGACATCAACAAAATTACTGAATGTGAGCCTTTGATTGTTTTTAAAACATAAAAAAAAAAAAAAAACATGAATCTTTAAAAATGTAAAATGAAGATGATAAAAAACAGAAAAACATAACGTGGATCATTTGAAATCTTTTGGTAATTTATAATTTTATTTTATTATTATTTATTTGGATTCAGGAGTTGGCGGTTTTCACATGTTTACAAATCTGACAGACTGGGAAATCATCCTCAGGGCTCGACAGTGCAACCGTTTAACTTGCACTTGAAACTAAAAATAGATGTGTTCGAAATTGTAAAATGCATTTAGGGGCACATGAGCACAATAAAAAATCAGCTGAGGCAACAAATGTTTTTTCATGTAAATATGGCGGTGAAGTTGGTTTTAGGTTGGTTATTCAACAGACACTGCGGATCTACCGGTGTCTTCTCACTCTTCATAACCGGAAGCAGCAACAGCAGTACGGTTAAATCTACTGGGCATCCTTGCTGTCAATGTCTGGTGTTGAATGAGGGACTGTCAATAAATTACTGGTTGATGTTCTCAGCTTCCATGTCATGTGACCAATTGACCTAAAATTGATTTCAAATAATAGTACGACGGTCAGACAATAAGACACACCTCTTTAGACACACCCTCCACCCATCAGTGCTGACCAGGTGACGATGGCACTGAGGAAGCTGCGTACAATAACCTTAATAAGGTACTCCATTTCCCTGTGTTGCGGCTGGCCCGGACCAGGTCTCCCCCAGACTCCTCCATGCCTGTGCTGCTGAACTGGGAGCTCCTCACCAGCATGTCTTCAACCTCAGCCTTCATTTAGGAAGGGTTCCCCCCCTGTGGAAGACATCCGTGCCTAAGAAGGGTTGCCCGTCAGAGCTCAACGACTACCGACCAGTAGTCCTCACCTCCCACATGATGAAGATCCTGGGGCGACTGGCCCTGGAGCTCATGCATCCACAGGTGAAGGGGACGAGGGACCCTCTCCAGTTTGCCTATCAGGCGCAGGTTGGTGTTGATGACGCTGTCCTCTACCTCCTCCACCCTGCCCTCTCCTCCCTGGATGTTGGGGGATGTGCTGTCAAGGTGCTCTTCTTCGACTTCTCAAGCGCCTTCAATACCATCCAGCCCATGTTACTCCAGGAGAAGCTCACCAACACGGCGGTGGACCCCTACCTTGTGGACTGGATTACCTGCTCACCCTTCCTCTTCACCCTCTACACAGCGGACTTCCAGTACATCTCGGAAACGTGCCACATGCAGAAGTACCCCGATGACACTGTGACTGTGGTGTGAATTAGAGAGAGTGATGAGGGGGAGTATAGGCGCTTGGTGGCGGACTTTGTGGCATGGTGCCGCGAAGACAAGCTCCTCCTTAATGCGTCCAAGACCAAGGAGATGGTGCTGGACTTTTGGCGAGCACCCCCCTCCCCCTCACAGCCAATCCTCATTGAGGGTGTGGAGATGGAAGTGGTCAACCACTACAAATACCTCGGACTACAGCTGGATAACAAACTGGACTGGTCATACCACCTGGACTGTGTGCACAAGAAGGGGCAAGGCAGGATGTACTTCCTGTGGAGGCTGGCCTCCTTCAACATCTGCTGGAAGGTCCTCCACATGTTCTACCAGTCCATTGTGTCCAGTGTTCTATTATACAAGTATCTCGTTGCCTGCTGGGGGGGGGCAGTGCTAAGAAAAAAGATATCAGGAAGCTGGACAGAATCATCCAGAGAGCCAGCTCTGTGATCGGCCTGAGCCTGGAGTCTGTGGGTGCAGTACTGGAGCAGAGGACCATGTCCAGGCCATAGACTGCATATAAAATTGACGCCGTCTGCCTCCTCGCTGGGTGAAGCCACTCAGAGAACAGCACCCTCTGTTGGTGGGCTGCAGTATAGGTCATAAATCCTGCCTCTACTAGCAAAGCTAATGGAGCTGTGGACAAACTTTACAAATTTATTACACGGAGCATACATTTTTCTCCCCCCTGGTTGTGATGTTGACATGTAGTTACTGTCAGTCTGGTTTGTGGTCAAGTCCTCTTTTTTTCTGTGAAGCTTCGTTTTTAAAATTTATTAGGGGGTTCATGTTTTCTAGGATTGACACCTGATACAGCCTATGGGCGTTCAGGGATTGCATAGTTCTCCTCGGGGGATATGCTGTTTGAACCGAGCGTCATCACATCGACTCTCAGTGACTCTCCGGCCGAATGCGTACAACGCTACTGCGCAGCGCTGGTTTCAGGAAATGAAGAAATCCCGGAAATACTGAGAGCTTTTCGGCTTCAAATCCGTGTACAGGCGGGAGGCGGAACCAAATTGTCCATAGTTTATACAGTCTGTGGTCCAGGCTCAGAACAATCCTGGAGAACTCCAGTCACCCCCTGTACACCACCTTCTCTCAGCAGAGGAGCTCCTTTAGCAGCAGATTGCTGACAAAGAACTCCTCCACTGAGAGACACAGGTCCTCTTTTGTGCCCCGGGCCATCAGGGACACAACTCATCAATCAGTCAATCAATCAATCAATCAATCAATCTATCTATCTATCTATCTATCGCTCTGTCATGGAGCATCGTAGGCTGATTTTGCTTTTGCTACTCATCTGGAGCGCGAATCAAAAGACGCTAGTCGATCCCGTGTATGAACGGCTCGTTAGCCAGCGACTGCGAACTGTGACATTATTTAATACATTCCAGAGTAGACGTGCTGCAAACAACATACGGATAAAGGCGAGATGGCGACAGGCATTAATGAGAGCCTACCACAATGTGTTTTCTTTCTGGTGTCAATCAGGACAAGTGAGGTGAGTGTGATTGGTGTGGATGACGTTCACACCAGAAATGAACTGCTCCAGAGTTCACTTGATAGTGGTCCGAGACCATCTCTTCAGGCGGACCAGAGTTCATTAATTTGGTCTGCACCAGAGTTCGAGGTCAGCGTTCACACCGACCCAAACGAACTGCAACAAGGGGGTAAACGCTCCAGGGTTCGGTTCAACCGGACTAAACAAGGGTGGTGTGAACACGCCCTTAGAGTCTACATGGATCCTACCCGAGACCACCTCTTTAAAGAGGACTTGAGGATGGTGCTCCAGTACGATGCACCCAGAACCAAGCCTGGGTCTCTACAGAAAGGTTCCCCACTGTCAGCAGATGGAGAAATTCGTCCCTGGGCCCATGAGCAGAGCTGAGCTCAAAGCTCCAGTGAGGAGGTTTCATTTCCTCTAGTGTCTGCTGCCCCCTTGTGGACAAAGCATTACCTTACTTCAGTACTGATTTTGTCCTGTACATGTGTAAGCTGTGTTCTGTAACAATAGTCCGAGCCTGTCATGGTAAATAAAACTTCTTTTTGGAGCTTAAATCCAGTCATTCTCACTGAGATCTCCATCCTGCCAGCAGATAAGGACTTCGAAATGACTGTGATGAAGAGTCGGTGTTTGAGTTAATGGGCTGATTTGATTTTGTCTGTCGTCAAGACCTTTTAATACACATAATTCT